TATATATATATATATATATATATATATATGAATTTTTACAAAATAATTCATTGTATCGAACAAACATAATGAAATATCATGATTGAAAGTTGTAGGTTGTGGTCTGTTGTCTTAAAGACAATACAAGTTAAGTTTACATGTTCTAGTTTTCTTATCACTAGTATCACATGGCGTTAGTTCCCACAGCTAAATCAGACGTCCATTCTCTTATCTCGTTTGCTGAAATGTTTGTTTCCCCAGGTTTAACGTTTGATTCTGATTGAGCTGACCCAGTTACACACAGCGCGTGACCTTTTGAACTCACAGAGCACATGTTACTTACGTAATAACCAAAGGTTTGTTCGGATCACTTCGTTACGTCACATTGGAGATGGCGTCGGAGGGTCGTTGAGCGCGAGCTCATAATAATAATAATGGCGTCGGTGGGACGTCCGGTCGACTGAAAACGCTGCGTTTAAAGCGTTCGGGGTCCAATCGCCTTGTGTCTGAACGGCTTTGCTTCCTCCCCACCGGAAAGGTGTTGAGTTACCTTCCCTCCACCGTCCTGGGAATTGTCCGGTCGGGAAGTAAGCTGGGACGAAACGGTCGCCCAGGAGCGGCTTTCTCGGGGCCGCGTAGTTTTAAAATCATCGGTATGGGTTTTAACCGCCACCCAGACCTCATATTCATTAACGGCAAAAAATCATCATGTTATAGCTTTACTTCCGTAGCGTTGGGAGTCATGCAAGGTGGCCGGGGATTTTTAGCTTCGGGATGGGAACCTCCCTACTAGTCTGGAACGCCACCAAGAGGCTAACCCCATGTGACACCTCTGAGTTGCCTCGGTGGTGCGGGACTCGGACTTGGAGGCGTTCAGACGTCGTCATCCGCGATCACTTCGTAATGCCACATAGGAAATGGCGTCGGTTGGGTGGTCGAGTTTAACCTAACAAGCGCACCCTGCACACCTCTTTGATATGCCTCTACATACATTATGAGTAAATGATGAGTCGATACAGACATAATGAGTTTTAAAAAAAACATGTTTTTCGTCAAGATGACCGCTACTTCCGGATTTATATGGATTCGATTTCGTCCAAATGCATTTGGTTAAAGCAGTAGTATCTTTTAAACATGGTCCAGCTGTAATGACATTGTTAGTTCTGTGTGCTTTCTAAGTACTTCATCTTTATCTATACAACTGTGTGTACATGTGTGCTTCAATTTCATTGTAGGGCCGGCGCTTGAGGTGGCGTGATTTGGGGCAATTCTTTATATTCCGCTGCCAGGGACGTAGGATTCGGGTAGAGTGGGCGGTCAATATTGAAAGTATTTATCGTATCAGCGCTAAGAAAACCCCTGATAGATTGAAGTAAAACCCTGATAGATTACGGCTGATAAATTGCGAAATTTAAGTCTTTATATAGAAATATATAACTCTGGAACAATGATAGGTTTAAACTTTTCCTATTTATTTTGAACTCTGCAATGTTCCACTAAGATCCACAATCTCAATAATGGAACTGCATAAATTGTTTTTGAGACGAACTGAGAGAAACACAATAGTGTTTTTATCCTGCTACAGGGTTTTAATCCAAGGCAAGAAGAGAAACATCAAGAACCGTCAAATGCGACGGATTTTAACAAAAATATCCCTTCATTGATTTTCTTGTTGAAAATGAGTTTTCATAGTAAATGGTTGTGACAAAAGACTCTTTCAACTTACAAGGCTGGCAGCTCATTCAAATGAACCTGAGAGACACGGATGATCTTAAGTAAGTTTTATCAACTTTAATTGTCAATAACATCTAATACCACTTGCTTCGGCTACCGAGACTGCCATCTTTATTTTGAAGGCTGTAGCTGCCCTCGCAAGAGAATTGGCAAGCAACTCAATGAATAGAAAGCGCTGTATTGCTGTTTTTACCTCTCTGTAATCATTCCTATCAAGGTCTTTAGCTTCCTTTACTTATGTCCTAACCATATACATCCCGCCATAAGCCCAATATCAAACCCTCACAGCGGTTGCTCAAATTATATAGAGTCCGAGTGTCTGTACATCGAATAGGCCGAGAAAACCATCAATTTGCAAAGATGAGTTCTGCAAGATCTTGTTAAATGACAGTCTGACCATTTGATTATCTTGGACCTATGATTATAGTGTTTACTGGAAATGACTAATTATGACCATGAGTAGGCACGGCCGGGCTGCATTAATCATATAAAAATATTATAAGGGCCACGCGCGGGACCCATAAGCGTGTGGCTATCAAAAGCGTGGGAGCTTGGGCAGTCGCCACACTCTAGTGTCGGTCTTGTATGTATATGTCTTTGTGTTGCTCAGGCGTAAATTTCTTTTAAATACTTTTAAATCAAATTTTATTTTAAAAGTTTATAAAACTAAAATATTTTTTTTTGTTTTAATTGATGTTTTCAGATCTGATTGGTCTGGACGTTAACGAGTTTATAACGAAGAATTAATTGAAGTTGCTCTTCGTTTAAAAAAGAATAATGTAAAAAAAAAACACAAAAAAAAACATATTTATGTTTTGTGTATGAGTAAAGATAGGGAGAATACAGAAAAAAGCCTTTAACAATTCTTATATACAAGCTCATGGGCTTGCGTAGCGGGGCGAAGAGGAGGCCAAACCGGGCACCAACATTATGGGGAGCGCAAAATATTCATAGATAGGACATTTATATTGAATTAAATGAGAAACCTACGCTGAAATCAGAAAGAAAACGGCCTAATTTTTTTTTTTTTTTTTTTTGTGTATGCCGGGGACGGTAATTTTGAGGATAAATAGAGGAGCGCCATTTTGAAGGTTCAACCAACACGGGCGCCACTTTTTCTCGGCACGCCGCTGTTCAAGTTTGTGTAAATTAAACAATAAGACGCGTTCCCACAGTTGGTCGAAATATGTGGAATGATTTCTGTACCAATGGTAGGGGGAAAAGCTGGGAAAGGGCGAAAAAATTATTGTTGTGTTTGTATTGACTTTCTTGGGGAAAAGCGTGGATAATAACATACGAACACATTTAATATTCATACTTTGTTAAAAGATATGAGTACTAAATACTCAAGAAACATAGTAGGTAAAATTGAAACATCTTTAAACGATGGGAAAGTGAAATGTTTAAAAAAAAGACAAACAAATGCCAGCGTTTCGATGAAATGCTACTTGGAACTCACCTTGAAAAATGAGTGGGATATTCATTTTCCTAAAATAAATTCTGACCCATTTTACACCTAGCATTTCTACATTTTCGAAAATGTATTATTTATTATTATTTTTTTTTAAATATTTGTTTTTCTTTAAAGAAACCCTAAAATACAAACAATTGCTGAAGCTGACACAAAAACTGTAACATGTGATTGACATACAAACACACCTTCCCATCGGCACAGTAAAATAATATCTACGTTATGGCTTTGTGTTAGTGATGCCGTTAAAATACCAACGGCTTTGTTTAATAGCATGCAATAAAATCGAATGCGCGGGTGAACACTAAAATTCAATGTTAAACGGTGGGTACACATGTGATTGGTTTGAGAGATTGCCGTCGGTGTTTGGGCGACACAAAAATCTAAACAGTCCGAGCTATTAAAAATAAAAATGGGGGGGGGGGAGGGGGCGGCACAAGGAAAAACAATGAAAAATAATGATAAATAGTAAAAATTTGTAAAACGAAACGAGAAAGCTAAATATACGTATGTTTATTTAAGGCAATATAAAACTACTTTGAACTTGACAATGATTATCACATTCAGCTCTTACACCATGACTCTTACGTTTGCTCTGGATTAAATATAAATGTATTCGTAAGTATATAAACTTATCGGCATAATTATGTATCATATGTCATTTATAATGTATATATGATATTTAAAAAGTGAATTTTTCCCCTAGGACTGTTTGACGACCAATGTACGATGCTTTGGGCTGCCTGACGCCATCTCACAACATCCACCCGCGCATCAATCAGGTCATCAATTCTACCCAAATCTGGATTGCTAGCTCTTTTGTCGATATGACCAACAGAACATGTTTTGTCTGAATTGGATAATTGGTGTCTTTGAAGTTTCCACATTTTAACTTGAACTCCTTGACACATTGAACACGGTTTTGTGTTTGTCATGCGACCAGTAGACTCGAGTAGACAGAGATGGAAGAGGATAGATATAGAAAGAAGAGAGTAGATTTAGATAGAAGATGGTAGATAAAGCTAAAAGCAGCAATCTTTTGAAATCTACGTAACCATTGCGAGATAATATGATAACGAATTTATATGATAGTTTGTTTTTTTTTTAAAGTTTTTGAAACCAGTTCATAAAAGTCGTCTAAGACAGACCAAGATACGATCTTGAAAAAATGTATGTGGACCAAATCTTGTGATACTACTTTGAAGTTTATTTTATTTTTTGACTAGAGCAATACATATAGCTGTATATATTCCTTTGGAAATGCAAACATATGATATTGGCTTTTATTAAAAAAAAAGATTACAATTCCTTTAAAAAGTTTCAATTTAGTCATTATTGTCAGTATGATGAGGAACAGCCCCGCGCCTATAGGATCGCATGTAGCCTATCAGACAACACACCAACAAAACCAATTCTCCCAACACGTTGGCCACAATTCAAACACGTCACGTGAGCGTCCCATCAAACATGGCGACCATTTTTCATCCAATCAGCTTGTAGCTTACAACCACCCTTCACCATCTTCCACCGCACCGGATATCATACAGCCACATCACGTGACACGCGGAGCTTTGGATTTCTCTTCGAGCAAGAAGTGCGGCTCTCATGCCACGCAGCACCTGCCGCAAAGAAATCATCAACCGTTTGAATTTTTTTCCCAGAGTCCACTTAACCATAGCCGCGACCGGCCTGATTCTGGGCACACATCTCCACCATGGTACAACACATCCATGTCGTCAGCAGTACCAACATCTCCGTTTCCGTCGGTGAGAAACAGCCATCGCGATTCGTCGTCAAGCAGCTACTCCTCACACAGCACCGTTGCCATGGACGCCTCAAATCATCAAGTTTACTCGAATGACGAGAGTTTCTTCGAAGAACAGGAAAATCGTGCCTGCGGTGGAGCATACCCAAATGACAATGGTGAAACCGTTTATTTAAACGATGCTTTAGATTCGAATGGATACTTGATCTCATCTCGATCCCCGTCAGTCCCATACAATGAAAACTTGCAGCAGAGAACGCCCCACCACGAAGGCGCTTACAACAGGCGAGCTAATGACTTTGAGACAGCGCCGATTAGCAGCGGCATTGCGATTGATAGCAAAGACATCCGAGAGCGTTGTGACGCAATCAAATTTACCGAGGGCTTGGATTACAACGTCGATCCAATCAAATGCGAAAGTTCCGACTACAGCGACGCCAGCAACGAACCGTATTGCAGCAACCCGTCGTCGGTGTCTGCCGGACAACCGGCGTACATCGGTCAACAGTGCTACAACAGTGACACCCACGGTCGTTGCCAGTCTTCGAACTCTTCATCATCAACCCCTCCTCATTACAGCCCGTCTACACTTATAACACCCGGGTCTAATGGAGTCGACGCAAACAAACATAATGAGTACGATAATGACCAAAGAAGCCAAAAACATTATTCGAGTTCAAATTCTGAACCCAATGCTCGGCTCGAAAAGTTAAAATCATCGAAGGGCGCAAGGGGCGCTCAAAATTTACCTCCTTGCAGAGTGTGCGGGAACAAGGCATCTGGCTTACATTTTGGCGTAAACACCTGCGAGGCGTGCAACGAGTTTTTCAGGAGGAGCCTCAAACGGGGCGCCTCTTACTACTGCACCAAGAATCGGGAATGCCAGGTGTACGGCAAGAAGCGAAACGCATGCAGCTACTGCCGCTACCAGCGCTGCGTCGAGATGGGCATGTCTCGGGACGCCATCAAGACCGGCAGGTACTCTCACAAGACGAGAACCGAGTACGCCATGGAGGTGGAGGAGTTCAAACAGAAGGAGATGCACCGGGCCGAGCAGGAGAAGTACGTGGTGCTGCTGGCAGATTTGGTGAAATATCACGACAAGTACGTGAAGAACACCACGCGGGTACCCGCGGCAGAGCTCCTGAAGCATCAGTCGGCGTACTTGAATTTATACAACACACAAAGGGAAATTGAGCTCAGACACCCGCCGCTAAGCTCGAACATGATAAACAAAAAACTGTTGAACGGCTGGAGTCCAGATGGCGAGGATTTATCGCTGACGATGCACGACGTTGAGATGACCGAGAAATGGCTCAGGAACTACATAAACTACGCCAAAAACGTACCGGGGTTTAAGGAACTCGCGCTCCCTGACCAAGCCTCGCTGGTTCGAGGAACATGGTTCGAGTTTTGGTTCCTCGGGGCGTTCAGGGGCTACAACTCGGACATGCGCGTCGTTTACTACCCGAACGGACGGACGTTCCATGAGGAGGAAATCGTCAAGGTGTTCGGCAAGGAGTACACGGATTTCTCGTTCAGCCTCGCGGATCGGATGGTGACGCTGGACGTGACGCCGGAGGAGATGGTGCTGATCAAGACGGTGTGCCTGACGTTCCCGGACCGGACGCCGCTGCAGAACAAGGACGCCGTGGAGCGGATGCACTGGATGATGGTGTCCTGTCTGTTGCACACGCTCGAGAAGAATCGACCCGGGGACTCCGCGATATTCCCGTTGATCGTCAGTAAGCTGGTGGAGCTGAGGTGAGTAAACAACTTTTGATATAATATTTTTGAACAGTTGCGTCCCGAGAAGCTGCACTCAATCTATGAAGCATGTTATTTACTAGTGATGACTTATTTTTTCATATTCAACTGAAACATTAAATGTGAGAATATGAAGTGACAAGTGAAGAAGAAAAGAAAATAAGGTCAAACATCCAAAATGTATATTATTTATTTTTATTTAAAGGAACGTTTTATTTTTAAATTATATATATTAAATATATATATATACATATATTAGCCATAAATGTATTTCTCAACGCTATTTAAACTGAATTTTTTGTGAATACGACAGAAAAATATGAGCCATTAACAAGTGGCAGTAGCAACATTGAACAGGATAAAAGTTTTAGCCCATTTTAAACAAGAAAATTAAAAAAAAAAATATAAGAGGCGGAGCCGACTAATCCAATATTAAAATTTTATTTCTTCAAACGTATTTCCCAAAATAATTTTACTAACCTTGATACAAAGGTGTACAAACTTAATTTGAATAATGCACATCACACTTCATTCGTTCCATCCCATCTCACGGGGGCCGTTCCTTATTTAAAAATAAACTAATTTAAATACGTGGCTTCTCATTTTTGGGCAACATAAGCAGCTTACCAGACAGTCTGTGATTTGTGTGGCTCAGTGTCTGACGGTGCAAATTGACATGGCGGCCGTGAACCGGGTCTTAGTGTACATAACCGACACACACTCTGGGCCCAAAATAAACGCTGGATGAATTCATTAAAGCGCTTTTATTATTATTTTTTTAACTGCCTGTCAATAATGGTACTTTTATTCGTTCACATTACGCTCCGCTTTCAAGCTGAGATAAATTATGTTAACAAAATATGTCCACAAATTATGTCAACAAATTGAGTCGACAAATAATTTCAACAAATTATGTCAAGAAATTATGTCAACAAATTATTTCAACAAAATATGTCCATAAATTATGTCAACGAAATATGTCCACAAATTATGTTAACGAATTGAGTCCACAAATAATTTCCACAAATTATGTCAAGAAATTATGTCAACAAATTATGTCAACAAAATATGTCCATAAATTATGTCAACAAAATATGTAAAAAAATATCGTAAACAAAATTACGTCGATAAATTATGTCGATAAATTTTGTCATTAAATTATGTCAAAAAATTATGTTCTTAAGTTATGTCAGCAAATTTATATCAACAAATTTTATCAACAAATTAGGTAACAAAATATGTACATAAATTATGTTCATTTCAAAGAAATTTCCCCCACCTCCCTACCATTTGTAAAAAAACTGTTAAATGTTCAAGGACCTCCATCACACCAACTAAAGCTGTATGCCATTATTTACCTCTCCTTTGCAAAACACACAAAAAAAATAATTAAAAATTAAAGCACTAAATTTAAAGAAAATGCAACTAAAAAAGTTCACATGTTTAAGAATTTTTTATTGGTCAGTTCGTACAATTTGGAAAATTTTGACTAACATTTTATATTGAAAATATTCAATAACCTTTTTTCAAAAAATAATAATAAAAGAATTACTATTATTACAAGACTAAAAAATGAAATGTGTATACATTTTAAAATAATAAAAATATTTTTTTTCTTAAATCTCATCTGAACTTCTCATGGACAGTTCAAATGTTCGTCTGTAGTGATAATGTGCTATAACTATTCTATAACTGCCATCATCTGGGGGAACGGTCTTTCATCCTGAGATTAACCCTTATGTGCTTGGAACGTCCGAGTCTTCAACGTTTAAAATAATTGCCATGTCCCCTTTCGGTCTTTTCTGTCTTTGGGAAGACACTTGTATTTTAGGAATACAAACACACACCAAAAAAAAAAAACAGAAAAAAAAACCGAAATTGAGCGAAACAAAGAACGGGGAAAACTTGGAGAAAAACAAAAAAGACGCAACAAAACAACGAGCGTGTCGCCAAAAAGCCTTCGTCAGCGAAACAAACAATCGTGAACATAGAATTAGTATTTAACAAAAAAATAAAAAGGGAAATAAAAAGAAAAAAAAAAGGGGGTGGGGAAAAAAAAAAAAAGAAGAAAAAAAAGAAAACGCTTTGTATCTGAGTGGACTTTTTATTTCTCCCTCATTTATTTTATTACTAACCTGATACCAGTATCTACCCCCCCCCCCCCTTTCCTCTTTTAAAAAAAATTACTATATATTAGGAATATAATAAGCAGATGCTAGCTTTTCATACTTAGGCCCCTCTTATCATTTCAAATTATTATGCTGTTATTTATAATTGTATACAATTGTTATACAATTAGAATTTCTATTTTTACTTTTTAAATCGTTATTTATTTAAAAAAACAAAAAACAATGTTATTCACGTCTATTGACCCCCTCCAAACCCCAACGTGTCATTAATTATCAAACGGTGTCCATTGCCCTCCACCACCCCCTTCCCCTTATTTTGTTGACGTACTTTATGGAGGCCCGGTAAGAAAACAAAAGACCTGCAAAAACCCAGTTGAAGAGTCTGCTCCAAGTGCGCCCGGCCGTGTGTCAACAAGGCCACAACGCAGCCTTCTGGGGCGCTAGGTGCCGCCGTCGGCATGTTTGACCCAGATTTGAAACTCGTGTCATTAAATCAGTGGATCGGGGCCGAACCTGGAAACGGCGACCAACTGCAAACAATGACACGGCTGAACATTGCACTCGCCGTGGAAGCGCTGGGTGTGGGGAGTGGGTTGGGTGGTGAATGGTGTCGTGGGTGGGGGGGGGGGGGGGGGGGGGGGGGGGGGGGGGGGGGGGGGGGGGGGGGGGGGGGGGGGGGGGGGGGGGGAGCTGGGAGTGGGAGTGACGCAAGGACGTCGTCACGAACGTTCAGTGGTAAAATTCGATACCAACACTAAGAAGTCACCTGCATCACACTTTGGTGTGACAGTTTTGTTATAGTGGCAGCCAAACTGCAGAATTATTGAATGGTGCAGAGCTTGTGATGCAGTAGTTCTCAAATTTTCTAGCGCCCTGGCCTATTTATAACATTTATTAAGATGTGGCGGCTAGCAACCTGGATTATGTAATGCATTTTGAGGTTGTATGCAGTGTGTTGAAAATGAAGTGACAGTTAGTGTGACGACAGTAAGTTTGGTGAAACTAAGTTTAGTGACAGTTAGTGTAGTGACAGTAAGTTTGGTGACAATGAGTGTAGTAACATTAAATGTAGTGACAGTAAGTTTGATGACACTGAGTGTAGTGACAGTTAGTGTGATGACAGTAAGTTTGCTGACACTAAGGGTAGTGACAGTTAGTGTAGTGACAGTAAGTTTGGTGACACTGAGTGTAGTGACAATAAGTTTGGTGATACTGAGTGTAGTGACAGTTTGTGTAGTGGCAGTAAGTTTGGTGACACTGAGTGTAGTGACAGTAAGTGTAGTGAAAGTAAGAGCAGTGACAGCAAATGTAGTTGCAGTAAGTTTTGTGACAGTAAGTGTGGTGATAGTTAGTCTGTATTGACAGTAGTGTGATGACCGTAAGTGTGGTGACAGCAAGCGTGGTGATAATATGTTTAGAGACAGTGTGTGCAGTAGGCAGTTTTTTCCGTCCTATCTTTTGAAAATATTGCACACAACATAATCATTAAAAAATTGAGGCAACATCGCCAATCAATCCAAATGACACCTAAAACACATTGTTGTACAAAAAAGAAAAAAATACACTTCGACCAACAGTTTGCAATTCTTAAAGTTTTCAAGAGAGCCCTTGTTTACACGACACCCGAAGGGCTCGTTGCCTACAAGCTGAGAACCACCTGTGTACAGAAAGCAAGTAGAAAACTATAAGGAAACTGTCGGCACTAAAAATGTGTTCACACATAAACGGTTGTGTAAAAAAAAAAAAACAAGGCCCCGGGGGGGGGGGGGCGCTGCATTAAAGAATACATGTTAAAGAATCAATTTTATTTTGAATTTTTAAGATGATGGGAGCGCCAATAAATAATAGGGAAGATCACGCAATGGACACACGTCCTTTTTGAAGTAGACATTTTTAAAAATATTAATCTTATTTAAAAAAAAAAAAATATCTTCCTTTCATCTTTCCCGGTATATCACCAGACTACTACTGCCTTAGGGTAACGGCTGAAACAAACAAAATAAGTCAGTTTGTAAGGGGAATGTGTATACCACTGTCAAATATCGATCTTAAAGTGAAATAAATTGAGGATTCAATCAGTCTGAATAATACCGAGTTAACAAGTTCGATTTAATATAGTGAGTGCGCATAGAGCATATGTCTTATAAATTTAAAAGCGCCCCCCCCCCCCCCCCCCATTTTTTGGGAACATATATTTGTGACCGTGTCACAAAATAGTGTCACAGAATCGTGTCATATAATCTTTTCATAGAATCTTATCAAAGAAACTTGTCACAGAAACTTGTCACAGAAACTTTTTTCAGAATCGTGTCACAAAATCGTGTCAAAGAATCGAATCTTGTCTCAGAATCGAGTCACACATTTTTGTCACAGAATCGAATCACAGAATCGAGTCATAGAGTCTTATCACAGTATCAAGTCACAGAATCGAGTCATAGAGTCTTATCACAGTATCAAGTCACAGAATCGAGTCATAGAGTCTTATCACAGTATCAAGTCACAGAAGCGATTCACATAATCTTGTCACAGAATCGAGTAACAGAATCGAGTAGCAGAATAGAGTCACAGAATCTTGTCACAGAATCGAGTCACAGAATCTTTTCACAGAATCGAGTCACAGAATCGAGTCACAGAATCGAGTCACAGAATCGAGTCACAGAATCGAGTCACAGAATCGAGTCACAGAATCGAGTCACAGAATCGAGTCACAGAATCATTTAACAGAATCGTGTAACAGAATCGAGTTACAGAATCATTTAACAGAATCGTGTAACAGAATCGAGTTACATAATCGAGTTATCGAATCGAGTCTTTTCAGCTCTTCTCTTTGTTTTTAAGAGAGGACTATTGGGCTTTTTAAGTTAGGGTAGGCCGCCTTTTATATGTTTGATATACATCTAAATAGGAGCCAAAATGATCAATAAATTGATCGTGGGCCCTTAAGATATAGAAGAAGAGGAAGATGATTTTTTGTTATTTCGTGAAATGAATTTTAAATTCTAACTAAAATGAAATTATATATTTTTTTAACACTTACATTAAAATACCTTGATTCAACCATCAAACATTTAATAAGGTCATATTGTGATATAAAATCTTACACGCAGACACAAATGCATGCACACAAACATACATTCACCATAGCAACATGACATTCCTCTGATGCTGCCATCATGAAGCCCATAGCCCCCACGGGATGCCCAGTTCACTCATTCTTATGTACAGCACCGGCTCGAGGAGGGAGAGGCCCCTTGTTGATAAACACTGCGCGCTCAGCTCCTGGCAAACGTGCCCATTACAACGCTTAGAAATCTCGCCCCAAGCATCCCTTATAATAGATTGGCATTTGTTTAAAACGTGTCAAATGCTTTGCAGTTTGAATTAGGCTTAAAGCACGTCTGACTGATAGCATAGCTATGAATATCTTCAAACCTTGCTGAGTCAACTAAATGCTACTTATGATAATAAGGTTGGAGGGACTGCAATGAAGTTAGAACAAAACATTTTTTTTTTCGTTTAAATCATTTATAGGCATTTTTTATTATTTTATTTTATATTAATCTTCTAATGACCCATCCGCTTCTCCACCACAAATTTATTTCGTGTAATTAGTGTTATCATTTTTTCCTTCATCTTCCCCCCTTGAAAAAAACAACAACAGCTGATATTTTGGGTGTTGTGTTTGAAACTTTGATAAAATGTGTTGTCAATGGCAACGCGTCTAGGTGCCAAGTCTCAGCTCGTTAGGTTGACGGAAAGTGGATCAGTTAGCCGTCCTAAAGACACAAAAGCAAAGTTAACGATACAAGTCATTTTAAAAATGGAAATCAGTGGATCAAGGTAGAGAGAGACCTGAAAGAAAAGAATGCAAGAGAACGACGCATCAGCGGGAGAGACTTGAAGTTGACGAGTTTAACCTAAGTCCTCATTTCCAAAAGTTCCGTAAACTTGACGGCTGCGGCAATTATATTTGAAGAAATTTTGAAACCATCAAGCGTGTTATATCGTATTTAACGACCCCCTTCATTTCAAATCTATCGAAAAGACTACACAAAATAAATGGGTGGGACTGCCATAAAGCATTTAAGTAGATTATTGAGACACAAGCAATACAAAGTAGTCAAGTCTATATGTCTAAATACCACTAACGCTTCCGTCTGGCGCACATGTCTTGAATGCCCAGTTTACAAGATCAAATTTCCGTCAAATTTGATTTAAATTTGCGTCAAATTTCTTTTTGAACGCACTTTGTAGTAAAATAAAGTAATGCGTTCAAAAAGAAGTTTGACCAACATTTAACGAAAATTTGATCGTTTGATCAATAACATTCCCGATAACTGCATTTGACGTGATTCTTACAAATACCGCAACTGCGTTTGGTGCACGGTATTTTTACGGGAATAGTTGGTGTAATAAACCCGTGGTTTACAAGAGGGAGGCACATTAGAATATAAATTAGTTCAGGTACTGTGGCGTGCCCGGTGGGGGAGAAGGGGTGGCAAGAACAGGGAATCTTATCAAATATTAAACACCAAGCGCGTTTGCGGTATTTAAAAAAAAAAAAAAAAAATGGCGTGCCCGGTGGGGGAGAAGGGGTGGCAAGAACAGGAAATCTTATCAAATATTAAACACCAAGCGCGTTTGCGGTATTTAAAAAAAAAAAAAAAAAAGAACTCGTTTTGAGCAGTTGTCGGAATTTTAATTCGCACGCTGTTGAAACTTAGCGTTGCTGACAGAAATGTTTCCGTAGAGAATTATGTGTGTTGACCATTCTTTGCTGTCAATCAGCAGTCACAACTTTAAGACATTAAGACATTAAGACATTAACAGATAATACTAAATATCCGAATGTTTCTAAAGTTACGTTTAAGAGACGGCTCACATGAATCAACGCCACTTTCAGAGCAAGATGGTTCTCTAACGTTAGCCTCTCCAAGTTTGAGTAACATTCCCCATCAATTTACGTTGATTATGCCTGTCGACCTATTTACTTGTTGTGTAGAAGCTTTTCTTTTCTCTATGAAAATGTTTGAATGACGCATCATGACATAATAGTACATTGTTTTGTGACCTTTCTCTGTGTATTACGAAATCTTATTGGGGATTAACATTTGTTTATAAAAGTCTCTAATTAAAACAGAAATTCAATCACACTTAAAAAAAATATATATATTCTTGAATTGTTTAATGCAGGTTTGTTTGCACAACTCAAAATGTAAGTGGGAGGGGGGAGTCGTAATACTTTATGAACAGCTTGTGCGGGCCCTAATACTTTATGAAAAAAAACTTGTGCAGGCCGAAAGATTATAGGACAGCAGGGAAAGCTCTAATGAAAATAACAGTAATTAAGAATATTTCGTTACTTGGCGGGTCGTATGTTGTGCAGGCGGGCCGTATGTTGTGCAGGTGGGCCGTATGTTGTGCAGGCGGGCCGTATGTTGTGCAGGCGGGCCGTATGTTGTGCAGGCGGGCCGTATGTTGTGCAGGCGGGCCGTATGTTGTGCAGGCGGGCCGTATGTTGTGCTGGCCTGGTTTAATGATATGTTGTTAAAGGAAATTGGGTAGTGTTATCCGAGACATTTTTTTTTTTCAAATTAATTTTTTTAGAAGTTGAAGAAAAAAATAAAACTCATTGGAAAAAGCTTCATTTTCCTTATATGATAACTGATTCAAACGACATATTAATGCATTATTAATGTATAAATACGTTATTATACAGTTAATTGTGTGCTTCTTTGATTCTTTTTTTTTCTTTAAATTTAAAAAAAAAATCTTATTAAAATCTTATTAAAATCTTATTAAAATTGTGTGTTTCCTTTTTTTCTATCGTTTAGAACTCTCACGGACATTGCCATGAGGGCCCACAAGAGCGCCATCTACCAGGATGTCCTCAAGGAGAGCCCACTGCTGAGTGAAATGGTGGACACGAAGACCATATACGTCAACGCTGACCCTCACGGAAAAAGTGTGTCGAGAACGTTGGTGAACAATATACCTGGGTGACACAATGTAAGAAACACAATATACCGGGCTGACACAATGTGGGACACACGATATACCGGAGTGACACACTGTAGGACACACAATGTCACCGATCTTAGAGAACATCATCAACACGCCGCCATTCGTCACGTGACGGAATCGAATTTTGTATTCTTAGACATGAAAAGACAACTGCGTTAGAAAAAAAAAATGTTTGAAAAAGGGGCAATCTGTTGCCGGTCCAATGAGATGCATTTCGATTCCAAACTACGATGATAATAAATATAGACTTCGAAACTGCTTATCCCTTTCATGAAGTTTTGACTTGCCAAATGCATTAGCACAATTTTCGTTTCTTCCTTACACTCTGATATGAATGTGATCGAACCGTCTCAAAGACGAAGCAACAAAAAAATACAGCTATTTTTGTACATCTTTGAAAAAATACCCGTTGACTCTTTTTAAAGTCATGCTACACTTTGAGAATATAATTCACTATAAGTTACTTTTATTCCAAACATAAATCAGCCTTGTTTAAAATCGCAATACCAGCCAGAGGCTACCATGGGCGAAAAGTATTCATAACGTGTGGCGGTGGAAGACGAACAACTGAATGACAAGATGCACAACATGTGCTGTCGTCTCGTGGAGCTTTTTGAATATTGACATGTCTCAGGTGGGAAATAAAAGATTCCCGAGCTGCCCAGACCGGCACCTGGACTACCATATGGTTTGTGTACAATCACCTTGAGGGAAATTAGAAAGGATGTCAGGCTCGGGTGTCTGGCTAATCTGTTATACACAAGTCCTACACATTCGTTACTGACATGAAACAGATGTGACAAGGTGAATGTCTCTCGAATGGAGGCTACACCTTGTGAGACTGCACACATTAGGCCGAGTGTAACTTAGTTGCCGAAATAAAGTATCAATATGAAGATACAATTCTCTATTACAGTAATTTAGTGTAGAGTTTCTTAGCCGGGAGGTGTGCCACTTGTTCTATAAATAACCTCAGGTAATCTATGTCAAAGCAACTTAATTGCTCAGAGCTGGAGCGAGCTATTTATAGATTTGGTTGCCTCGTTTCGTTTTTCTTTTAAATTATTATTTTTTTTTCTGTTGGCAGCATGTTCAGTTTGTACAATTCCATCACAATTTTTTTTGTATGTTTTTTCTTATGTTAGAATTTTCTTTCTTGGCTACCGATACTAAGTAGACAACAACTAAAATTCCACCAGCTTTCACGTGCATCACAATAGGTGGTTAATGTATGATATTTTGGTTGGGATTTCAACACCAGTAAATCTACTGTTCATTAAGTATCTGGATGGGATTGCAACCCAGCCTGCGAATGTACAGATCACCATGAAAAGGCCCTGTGTTGGTGTAAAACCCAGCCGGCGAATGTACAGATCACCATGAAAAGGCCCTGTGTTGGAGTAAAACCCAGCCGGCGAATGTACAGATCACAACGAAAAGGCCCTGTGTTGGTGTAAAACCCAGCCGGCGAATGTACAGATCACCACGAAAAAGCCATGTGTTGGTGTAAAACCCAGCCGGCGAATGTACAGATCACCACGAAAAGGCCCTGTGTTGGTGTCCAATCCAGCCGACCATGCACAGTAATCACTCATTAGAACTATAATATAATTATCAACGTTGCTTTGTTGTCAACCACATAATAATATATTCATGTAAACGTCAGGAAGATTCTTCTATATTTTTTGTGTGGATTAGCTGACGTCAGAAGACCACTGTAACGAAATAATATGCATTGATTGGACAAACAAATTGCATTACTCCGGTGTTCTTTATAATACAGAACATACAAACAAAATATTTAATTTAATTAATGATAAAAAAAACAAAACTCAAAAATAAGCTATCTAAACTTAAAAGTTGGGCCAAGCCATATTCAGTATTAAAAAAACCTCACACATTTAAATTGATAAATTGATGGGATTTGTATCACCTTTTCAAGGTATACATAGATTGTCGCCCCACACATGTGTCTTGTATACGTGTGTTGTGCCGACTGCGGTCCATCCAATTTCCAACCTATATGCGCTTCTCTCTCCAACGATACCAACGCATTACGGCTGTATCATTGATTATCAGGTAATGTAACCGCTGTGATAGTCTTAGCGAAATAACCCGACGAGATGTGCAGTTATGAAGTCGTATGACAGTGATGTGGCTACGCTAACCTGTTATCTCTATAGTGTGCACACTAGGTTTAGCCGACCACTGCGATTCATAGAGTAAGGACATGGTATGTTAAGCCCTGGATCATAATGACGAACACAGTGACGTTTCGGCAGAAAGCCTTCATCAGCAAATACAACAATTTAAATAAAATAAAATAAAATCAGAGGTTGTCTGAGACATAGAACGGACAGGAAGCTATTCAAATAAAACGCCTAGAAAACCTTACATGTTTCACAGTTTCAAATACCGTATCATCATCAGTGGCACTACAGCCTAAGTAGGGCCCTGGCCTGCTCCACCAATACAAGTCCCATGGTCTCATTATTTCGTCCACATGGCTTGAATGCAGTTTCTAATACATTAATCATGATTTGAATGTGCAAGGATGACGGCGCACAATTGTCGGCGACTTAAACAGATACGTCATCAATTCTCTTATTAAAATCTAATCTTCTAATTACCAAATGAACGTATGGGCTAAGAGCAGGAAATGAATAAGTACAATGAACAAGGATCGAGTTATGCGCTACACATTAAAATTTAATAGATTCTTTTTTTTTTTCAATTTGAATAATGGCGTCATCTAATTCTCTTAGTTTCTTTTCAAATAATATGTTAGAGTTTTATGATCTACTTAAATGTCAGAAAAATGATTTTGACCGGTGCACACGTCTATATTCCTCTGGTATTCGGGACAGCTTTGATACCGCTATTTGATATTGACGGCAATTTGCTTGCTGTCCCCTGACTTTGTCGGGTTTAGTTTTCACAATTAAAATGAAAATATTTTTACTCTTGTTTCTGTCTCATCCACTAATCTTGTAGGGCGAGGACTGAAATGCATATCTTTTATTATAAGAGTTCATTGTCTCTATTTTAAACTAGATAGAAGAAGGTTATTCTGCAAATGAACGTTTCTCAAAATGTACTGAAATGTGTACTTTTAAAATATGATCCCAACATTGTATGTACCACCGTGTATCACCAATCTTATGCTACATTTGTTGTTGTTTTGTGTGTATGTGTGTGACAATGTAATATACCTCTTTTAAAAGTGTTACGAATTTGAAACTCATAATTTTATACTGTATTTAGAGACAGCACGCATAGTGAAACGAAAACGAAAGTGAACATAACCAAGCATTATAAAATACATATTAAACATAACAATTCATTTTGGAATAAACCGTTATAAATATTTATTTAACGGATGCTCTAATCTAATTCAGCAAATAAAAAGTGGACATTTTATTTTTTTACAAATATTTTAAATTCACACACAAACAATCTTTCATACGATCCCAGAATATAGCCTCTCAAAATTGAGTTGTCGATAATGGAACAGGTGGAGAGAAAGCCACCACTAGCCAATGACGGTGCCTACTTTTCTTGTTCTTTTGGGACAATTTCATACATTCCGACTCGATCATTTATTTAACCAACTCTAAATTAAAGAAATATTGACTAATCTATACCTAAATAATAATTTAAAAAAAAAAAAAAAAAATTTCTCCCGACGATATTTTAATTGACAATTTCACTGGAGTATTTTGTGTACAATCACCCAATTTAACAACTGTGGCCTACATTTACCTTTAAGAACCTTCTTTTTTTTTTGTTTTGTTTAATTGGTCCATTTACTGCGAAATGTCTGTATTCCTGTTATCATGGGTGAGGTCTACGTTAGATTCGATCTCCACAGCTAACTTGTAGTAAGATTGTTGCTGTGTTAAGTTTATGCCAAGAATTGGTGTTGATGACAATTTTTTTTCTTTATACTATAAATGCAACGTTGTTTCATTGCGGTCCTTAGACTTGGAAAAAAACAATTCACTTCAGTAAGCAATTTTAATTTTAATTATTGCTTTATTTCTAATGTTGGTAGATACTACTGCCACAAGGTGTCGATGAAACTTCAAACAAAAATATAGATGCAATTCCATTGTTGGTTGAAGAATGGTTGTGTTGACATTGCAATTAAATTTAGTGCCAGATGTAGCAGTCCAACGTTTAACTGTTATCTAGCATACTTAACTTTAAAGCCCATATCATGTACATTAGACCTTTACAATGATTATTGTTTTCTTTCTTTCTGTTGATGAAATTTTACCGGTGACCTGTACAAAGATGTTAGTTGTATTTTTTTTTACAACTGTTATTGTTGTTGGCTTGATTCATCATTGCAACACGCCTGTGATATTGTTGTAACTTTGGTGTCCATTGTTGCCTATGTCTGCAAGAATTCCGGTGTTAAAAATAAATCATTTTCGTGTCGCCTTTATATCCCGCACCACTTACTTGTCTTTCCGCGAAAGTAAGATCGTTATGTAAGATCGTTATGTATGATCGTTATGTAAGATCATTATGTAAGGTCGCTAAGTAGGATCGTTAAGTTAGATCGTTAAGTATGATCGTTAAGTAAGATCGTTATGTAAGATCATTATGTAAGGTCGCTAAGTAGGATCGTTAAGTTAGATCGTTAAGTATGAACGTTAAGTAAGATCCTTAAGTAAGAACTTTAAGAGAGGTCGTTGAGAAATACCGTTCGTTAAGATATTTTAGTAACATCTGATTGTTGTAGCAACTATGTTAAAATTGATCTTTTGAATTATTCACTGGTATCAATGACTGGTCGGCTGGTATCGAAAGTAGCAAGAGTGAAAGTCAATTTTTTTATAAGAAAAGAGTTTATCTTTGAGTAACGGAATGTCCGATTCCACCTTTTTTTAAAAAAAAACTAGAATGTGGATTTTTCACTATTTCAAAGACTTATTTAAAGTTCATTACCGGAATTTTTATTTGTATCAACATTTTGTTAATGAACTTTGTGAGAGAAATTTTCATAATTCTATATGATTATTATCACAGTTTTATTGCAATAATATTATTTGTCATGAATTAAAATAAAGATTTTTAAAAAAATGTTAATTATATTTTTCTGTCATTCACCGGTGCAGAGCAGTCAGGAAATGTTTCTCTAATACTTAATACGATTTCTTTCACAATCACACTTTCCTTGGGAAGAAAATTTTCAAAATTAAACTGAGCGAAATTATAAGTTTGTACCTTAGTTATAACATAACACTTCTGTAACATGGGATTCGCATATATACATATACATATCATCCCTCGTTACTTGATATAAAGTTGTGATATCGCCTTTTAAAATAATAATTGCAATTCTTTTTTTTTTTTTAAGAACCTCTTTTCCGGTTTTTAAATGGTGAGCAGATCTTAATCATAAATGTCTTTAAATATTATCGATTTTAATCTAAATTGGCAATAATCAATCACCTTTTTTCACAGGATTATTTGATGATGATAAACCATTTTTTTTTTTTTAAATTGAAGAAAACAAAAATTAAACAACATTTCAATTATACGAGCTGCAATTAGACAACTGATTTTGTAATAAAACTATGTAGACCTGCACATACATTACCACCAAGGCGAAGGATTCTATTGTTTGGGCCTTTACTCCAAGTTTAAATATTATCTTTGATATAAAAAAAAACCCACCTATTACACAAGTGTTTTTGTTTCTTAGTCTTATTTCAGATAGATTAATTAGACAAGAACAATTTGTTAAGCTTTAATAATAGTTAAACATAATACACAAATGAACGTTTCGGCACATGCCTTCATCAGTACAACAACAAAACATTTAAAGAAGTATCAAGTAATTGTACTTAGTTTTACAGGTTTCAAGTAAGGTTTTTACTTTATTCGTATTTAAATGTATTGTTGTTTTACTGATGAAGGCATGTGCCGAAAAGTCTGTTTTTGTATTACGTAAGATTATCAATAAAGACTAACATATATTGTTCTATTGACACGAATTGTTCGTATCAAATTAATCTATGCTAAAGCCTTATCGCGGTCCAACACTTTTATAATTAGTTAATTTAGTTTTATTTAAGCTTCCTGTTTCTTGTGATCATGCGCACTACATAATATATTATTTTAAAAAAATTGTTACAAGAATATACTAATGGTTAGTGTATGAGTAACCCTTGACAGTTTGATAACCACTGCGAAAAATCACGCGTGTGGGTGTGGGTGTGTGGGTGGGGGGAGTCGGTGCAGAACCGCAATCTGTTGCACTCTTTCATCCGTTAAACATTACCGCTCGGACTTTTACTTCTTTACACTAACACGAGTTATTGCTACTCGGTAGTGGCTGGAAACAAATAATGTCATTGGAGACATCTCTCATTCAATGTTAGACTTGATGCATGGGTTTTTTTAAATTTTTTGTTGTTTTTTTTTCTTAGAAGAATAAAATCCATTTCATCAAAAGCGTCTTGACAACTTTTCAATAATGAGCTTGAGTTTCACAGATTATATTAAAGGTGTTGGATGGATTGATATCAATATGAACATCGACGTCATTGCCCTCGATGCCCTTAACATTGCTAAAGTCTTTTGTTTGCTGCTTTGGGGAAAAAAAATTATACGGCAGTCTACAATAAGCTGGACAAAGAGAGAAGGGTGGAGGAAAGGAATAAAAAGAACTACAGCAAATATTTAGTTGCATGCATTCAAAATATTTTTTTGTTGTTAGCTGAGTTAAAAACAAGAAGGTTAATTATTTAAACAGTAAAATGAAATATATAATTTTTTTTGGGGGGGGGTATAAATATCATAATAAGACCCATACATTGTGATTACATGTATGTGATGTATACTTAATTTTGGGATGTCGAATATCAGTATTTAAAAAAAAATATATATATATAATTGTTATTATGTTTTAATATATATATTTTTGTTAGAAGCTACTTTTCACGGTCATACAATCTGTAAAGGTCTAAACCAATTCTAATTCAGGTCAACGCAATTCAATGATACATACACACATTATTATATGACGCAGTTACAATTTGTATTCATTATACTTTTCATCGACTGTTTTGCTGTTCAACAATGAGAAGACATTGCTGGTCATCGTTTTCACGGGTTGTGACTTCGTCTGGTCTACATAATTAATAACGAGGGATTCCCCAAAGCTTTTTATAGCTCAGAGATTCCGCAGTCTAAATCTTGACAGGTGTGTTGTGATATTTTGTGTACGTAATGTGCCGTTGCAGTAGTTTCTCGTCTGCTCTAACGCCTTTTAGACGTCACAAAGTTATTGATAGTGTTTACATTGTTCATTAATAGGGTTATCACTTTGCTTTGATCATAGACACAAATCCACACACATGGAATTGACGTATGATGGGATCGTGACGTCATGATAGCGACGTGTGTTTTCTGTGTTGCTTGGGGGGGGGGGGGGGGGGGGGGTTCTATTTTAAAGTGTGTTTTTTTTTTTTTGGGTTGTTTTTATTGTTTTACGTGCGTGTCTAAATTTGACCGACAGATTTCATCAATTAATATTCTCAAAAATGACCACCCAGTGATTATGTCAGAATGCTATGTTATTATGTATGCCTTTCATTGTACGGGTGCCGGCAGAATTGTATGCTTGGATGTGCAAACGAATTAGTTCCGTAAAAGTCAAGAATTTTAAAGTTTTGTTTTTTTTCTCCAAAAAAATTATTTCGTTTTCTGCTTTTTACCGCAGTACATTTATTAAACATAAAATAAATTGCATAAAATATTTTGAGCGTCATTGCATGTAATATAATATTTCATTCGTTTTCTGTTAATTGTTTTTTAAAATTTCAATTATTTTCCCCACATGAATTGTAACTGATATCGTAAGCTAGACATGGATGTTGTCGTACGTAATGATGTGCCTGAATATATCTGTATTTATTTATAGATGCATTATAAAATAATGACAATCATTGTTAATAGATTTGTTCTCATTAAATACGTTCATTCGGTTTTGACCAAACTGCAGTTGTGTTCACTGTTCCATGTTATAAAGAACTGTTTCACTGTTGCGTGTTATAAAGAACTGTTTCACTGTTGCGTGTTATAAAGAACTGTTTCACTGTTCCATGTTATAAATAACTGTTTCAATGTTGCATGTTATAAATAACTGTTTTAATGTTGTATGTTATAAAGAAATGGTTCACTGTTGCATGTTATACAGAACTGTTTTACTGTTGTATGTTATAAAGAAATTTTTTAATGTTGCATGTTATAAAGAACTGTTTCACTGCTGTATGTTTTAAAGATGCCCCTTAAAGGAACTCGTACTTGTTAAAAGAGTAAGAAACAGATGGAGATATATGTAAGTCTCAGCGTAGTTTCTAGGTGTTTAACCGTGCTGTGCTGCCTTCGTTTTGAATTGATAAACAATACCCCCCCACCCTTCCCTTTCACCACCATCGCTCCACCCCCCCCCCCCGATCATCCGCGCTAGACGAATTAATTCATTATTAAGTCCCAGCGTAGTTTCTAGGTGTTTAACCGTGCTGTGCTCCCTTCCTTTTGAATTGATAAACAATACCCCCCCCCCCTTCCCTTTCCCCCCCCTCCCTCCCCCCCCCCCCCCCCGATCATCCGCGCTAGACGAATTAATTCATTATATATAAAATAACTTGTATTCAAAATTGTAAAAAAAAGTGAGTAGTTAAAACATTTTCCTCTAATGTTTCCTTATTTTCTCTCAATTCGCCCAATCTTTTTCTTTGCTGAATTAGAAATTAATTTTTTTCCGCCCTTTCGACGGCACTGAAATATTGCCGCCCCAGGAGCCCGTCTAGTCTTGCCTAATGGAAGATGCGCCCCTGCTCGGCGTATTAATAGCCTGTTGTGTGCTTTGGGGTTTTAATGTTACAACACGCTTTCTGATACACATCTGCAACGTGTAAGGCAAAATATGTCACACTTTCTGATACACATGAGACCATGTTGGGCAAAATATGTCATATTCTATGATACACATCTAGACCATGTTAGGCCAAATGTGTCATATTTTATGATACACATCTAGACCATGTTAGCCTAAATGTGTCATATTTTATGATACACATCAAGACCATGTTAGGCCAAATGTGTCATATTTTATGATACACATCTAGACCATGTTAGGCTAAATGTGTCATATTTTATGATACACATCTAGACCATGTTAGGCCAAATGTGTCATATTTTATGATACACATCAAGACCATGTTAGGCCAAATGTGTCATATTTTATGATACACATTTAGACCATGCTAGGCTAAATGTGTCATATTTTATGATACACATCTATACCATGTTAGGCCAAATTTGTCATATTTTATGATACACATCTAGACCATGTTAGGCCAAATGTGTCATATTTTATGATACACATCTAGACCATGTTAGGCTAAATGTGTCATATTTTATGATACACATCTAGGCCATGTTTGGCTAAATGTGTCATATTTTATGATACATATCTATAACATTTTAGTCAAAATGTGTCAAGTTTTGTGAAACACATCTAGACCATGTTAGTCAACACGTTTCACGTTTTGCAATACATATCTAGACCAGTTTAGGACAAATGTCTAAAATTAAATTAGGAAAGCACTGTGTACACCGGCTGTAATGTTTCAATTATAACATGATCATGTATCAAAGTCATACCATTCAACAAAGTCATACCATTCAACAAAGTCATACCATTCAACAAAGTCATACCATTCAACAAAGTCATACCATTCAACAAAGTCATACCATTCAACAAAGTCATACCATTCAACAAAGTCATACCATTCAACAAAGTCATACCATTCAACAAAGTCATACCATTCAACAAAATCATTGTCTCGCCTGGCAATTTCATCATGATATAAACTTCCGACAACGCCCATAAGATCTGCTAAATTTTAACAACTTTTAATTAATTTTTTTTTATAAAGCAATGTTAATATGATCAGGTTTGTATTGCAAATAAGTTCACAGATGCACACAGACACTTACACAAACACACGAGGAAACTTTTTCAACATAGACGACAATTGTATCCATTGGATCTAATGTTGTATCCATTGGATCTAACGTTCTAAACACTTTCTGTACTCAGGCCAGACCAAAAGCTCAACTGTTCAACTCTATAGACAAGACGAAATCAACAAAATCTCAATCATTAAAAATAAAAATCTACAAAGGACAAAAAAATAAGACAAAGAACTTACACTGTGTACGCGCAAATGCACATTTTTAAACAAGAAAAACATTTTAAAAGTTGTCTTAGGGACATTCCATAAGTACGTCATACTCGAAAGGGGATCTAAGAAAGTGTGACAATTTTAAAACAGGGAAAAATGAGGGGGAGGGGGGGGGCAAACATAAGTTAAATCACACATACAAAACTTTTATACAGATATATTCTGAGGTAAGAGTTCGCAAAAAAAAAAATATTAACTGATTAAACAGTAACTGTGTGTTTGATTGATTTAAATTGACTATTAATTTATTAGTTTGAACTTGTGAAGTAATTTCGGAAAATGGGGAGGGGGGGGGGATGGCTCAATCTGAGACTTTTGACAGATTGTGAAAGATTGTGACAGAATGGAAGGATTGAGCACAACATGTCCGAAAATAGCGTGACGCGCTTTATGGGCTGCTAATTATTTTAAGTATGATAAAAGTGTCTGATCTTTTTTCTTGTGATATTATGAACTGTTCTTTTGCATTGTGATCTTATGAACTGTTCTTTTGCATCGTGATCTTATGAACTTTTCTTTTGAATTGTGATCTTATGAACTGTTCTTTTGTCTTGTGATCTTATGAACTGATCTTTTGTCTTGTGATCTTATGAACTGTTCTTTTGTCTTGTGATCTTATGAACTGTTGTTTTGTCGTGTGATCTTACGAACTGTTCTTTTGTCTTGTAATCTTATGAAACTGTTCTTTTGTCTTGTGATTTTATGAACTGTTCTTTTGTCTTGTGATCTTATGAACTGATCGTTTGTCTTGTGATCTTATGAACTGTTCTTTTGTCTTGTGATCTTACGAACTGTTCTTTTGTCGTGTGATCTTACGAAATGTTCTTTTGTCTTGTGATCTTATGAACTGTTCCTTTGTCTTGTGATCTTATGAACTGTTCTTTTGTCTTGTGATCTTACGAACTGTTCTTTTGTCTTGTAATCTTATGAAACTGTTCTTTTGTCTTGTGATTTTATGAACTGTTCTTTTGTCTTGTGATCTTATGAAACTGTACTTTTGTCTTGTGATCTTATGAAACTGTTCTTTTGTCTTGTGATCTTACGAACTGTTCTTTTCTCTTGTGATTTTATGAACTGTTCTTTTGTCTTGTGATCTTATGAACTGTTCTTTTGTCTTGTGATCTTACGAACTGTTCTGTTGTCTTGTGATCTTACGAACTGTTCTTTTCTCTTGTGATCTTATGAACTGTTCTTTTGTCTTGTGATCTTATGAAACTGTTCTTTTGTCTTGTGCTCTTACGAACTGTTCTTTTGTCCTGTGATCTTACGAACTGTTCTGTTGTCTTGTGATCTTACGAACTGTTCTTTTGTCTTGTGATCTTACGAACTGTTCTTTCGTCTTGTGATCTGATGAACTTTTCTTTTGTCTTGTGATCTTACGAAGCATCTATCCCCCAAAAATGCTTAATAATAACACTTAGTATTCAGTAAACAAGAACTTGTGAAAACCAATAGGGAAATAGTCAGTAAAATGGAAAGGTGATCGCCACAAGAATATCACGGACGAGCTCAAATATTAGTTCGGTCGATTTCTAGCGGGGACCTGACCGTGTTTACCATGAAACAAAGATCTATCTGCTTGTACTGTTAATAAAATATCATTTCTCTTTCTTTTATATCAATTAAACATTCAGTTTGATACAATTTTTTCTATCTTCGGTAATATAAACTCAAACAAATCAATAAGCAATAGAAAAATATCAATTTCAAAAAAAAAAATATATCAAATATCTTCTTGTGATAAAATTTAAATTTGTTTTAAGGGAAACCAAAATGTTTTTTTCAAACAATAATATAATATGCACTCTCGAAAAAAAAACGTGCGAAGTTTTATTATTGCATTTCAAAGTCTCCAATCATGTCTTATGTACTTAAATGACGTTCAGGGCAGCTTGTGATTGACGTGTAAGGCTACACTTCGATGTTTGCAAGCGCTGTTGTCCTACTTGTAGGGCTAAATTTGATGTTGGCAAGCGATGTTGTCCTACTTGTAGGGTTAAACTGATGTTTACAAGCGATATTGTTCTACTTGTAGGATTACATTTCAATGTTTGAGAAAGATGATGACCTAATTGCAGGGTTACATTTTAAAGTTTGCCCAAGAATGATGCCCTACTTGTAGCGTTACAATTAAATGTTTGCAAAAGATGATGACCTACTTGTAGGTTT